TGATTAGGCACAGAGCTGACAACTCCTTTTCCTCCAGAGCACCTCACTTTGCAGGAGAGTCCTCCAAAAATTCCTCCCTAGTCCTCACTTTTCTAGTAAATTTTTATCTTGCCCTGAAAACATATGTGACAACACAGTTAGAATCAGAATGTTCTGTTGGAATCAGTGTCTAAGGACACTGCACACAAGGACATGTGCCAGCCACCCCCTGTCAAGGCAGAGGAACAGCTACAATAGCAAAAGTGATCCTCACTGTGGATCCTCTCCTGGACTAATTTCCCCCAACGTGGCACCAAACCAAAAGTGGTGGCACTGCTCTGACTGACAGATGAGATCCAGCTGATGGACCAGGAGAACAAAGACTGCCTGACTTGGTTTCCTTTCCCTCCACCTGTGTTTAGAGTTGGAAGGATGCTCCCCAAATCCCTGAACAGCCTGATCCCTGCAGCCTCACCCTCACTTCTGGGCACTGAACCTGTGCATCTTTCATCTGTGCTCAGGAAAAACAGTTCAGGGCTGTGATTCCCATTGGGAATCCAGTGGGGACAAGCTGGGGCTCATCCCAACGCCAACGACAGAAGGAAACTCTTCCAGCTTCCACTAGGATGCAGTGCCAAAAGCTGCTGGGGTGTGCACATGGAGGTTCCTTCTGCTCATAGCCCTGTTCTGTTGAAATCATTCAGGTCTCATTTATCCTGAGCTCTACAACTCACAAATGGTGGTGGCATTCCCCGAGAAGGTGGAGAGAAGACAATTGTGTCTGGTCTCACAGGCCCCTGGTCAGAAGAATTTGATGGTTACTGTTGTAACCACTGAAATCACTACAAAGAACTGCTGTTCCCACTTTGCTGTGCTGTCAGAAAGATCCTGAGAAAGCTCCAATTTTCAGTGGATTTTACAATGTACTTATTTTGGAAGGGACAGCATCAGAAATACCCCCCAGCTCCTTGTTCCCTTCACCTCCCCTGTTCCCTCCTGCCTCCCAATTTCTAGCCCATCTGTGAAATCAGGATGCTGGGAGAGGAATGATGTACCTGGGGAGGCAAAGGGTTCTTTGCCATGGACTGGAGCCCTCAGCATCATGGCTGGATCAAAACCCTTTCTGAAGGACTAGTTCCAAGTCCAAGTCTAAATCACAGGCTTGATGCCCTAATCCCTACATGAAAGGGTTATGTGAAGGGTCAGAATAGGTGGTGATAAAGTTCCCTTCCAGCCAAAACAATCTTGGAATCTCCAAGGAAATCCACCATCCTCTGGCAAGAGCCAGGACCAGACTTTCCAAAGGGTAACAATGCCTGGCTCCAGACTCACCAGGGCAGTGCCAGTGAAGAGCTATGAAATCATCTCTTCTGCTTGGGAGGTTCAACAGGCCACGTTGGCATTGCCTGTGAGCCACAGACCACAGGCCTTGGAATGCTGGGAACAAAACCAGAGCAGATACGCTCAGAAAGGCTTTTAATGTTGCTCTGCTAAAAAGGAAGAGGGGGGGGGGGAAAACCGAAACCAAGTAAAGGCACTTCACGTGGCTGTTCAGCACGGCAAAAGGCAGTTGGGAGATTTCCTCTGAACGTGCTGGAAGGGGTTGTGCAACCCAGCTGGCTCAGCAGGGGCAAGGTGGGAATGGCAGGAGCTGCTGCAAGTCAGGACTCAGGTACCCGACAGGAGAGCAGCAGGAAGGGGAGCAGGGATTAATGAGGGAAACTCAGACAGTGTCTGTCTGTAGGAGGCCTGGCTCAATTCAAGGCCATTAACTTGTTGCTTTCTGAACACCACCAAGAGCACTGGAAACAAAAGCACGTCTGCCCAGCATGGGCCCTGCTGAGTGATTGCTTAAATACTCCACCAGTATGAAGAGCATTAAGAAAGGCAAAGAGCCACTTCAGTGGCTCCAGGCTCCCAGCACTGCAAGTTTTTGCATGAAGCCCAAGTCAAAGCCAGGCAGGCAACTGGGAGGTAGCCTTGAAAGTAGAAACAAATAAATTACTAGCCTTCATTTTCTCCCATTCTGGAGTTTAAATTTAAAGGGGAGGTCCATCAACTTTACATAAATCATGTTTATAATTAAAAACATATTTTCCTGCACTGCTTACAAGCCTTTGGATGCTTAATAAGGCATTTTTCACATTATTTTAAGTCGCACTAATTATACTGCTTGTTTACCCCAGTCAATAATTTTTCTTCCAGGGAGATAAAGCCATCCTGGGACGAGACCTCCCTCCAGAGACCAAGAGGGAAAGGCCCCCAGGGAGCTGCCTGAGGCCCCAGGAACACATGGGAGGTCTGTCACCGAGCTGGGACATGAGTCACGTCACGTCCAACGCTCACAGGACTCTTGCTAAGCCTGACTCTGAGCCTGGGTAAGCTGAGGAGACTTGAGCTTGCTCAGCTGCTGCCAGAGGCCTTGAGCTGTGCTTTGCCTAGACCTTGCCTGAGGTGCCAGCCTTGCCAGGGAACCAGACTTGGGAAGTTTAG